GAAAAGCTTGGCTTCAAAACATCACAGGAAGCGTTAATTTGAACAGCTTTACTTCAGAACATCACATAAAGCGTTACTTTGAAAAGCTTGGCTTCAAAACATCACAGGAAGCGTTAATTTGAACAGCTTTACTTCAGAACATCACATAAAGCGTTACTTTGAAAAGCTTGGCTTCAAAACATCACAGGAAGCGTTAATTTGAACAGCTTTACTTCAGAACATCACATAAAGCGTTACTTTCAAAAGCTTGGCTTCAAGTTATCACAAGAAACATTTCCTTGAACAGTCTGACTTCAAGACATCACAGGAAGCGTTAATTTGAACAGCTTTACTTCAAGTTATCACAGGAAACATTTCCTTGAACAGTCTGACTTCAAGACATCACCGGAATCGTTTCTATGATCAGCTTGACATCATTAACTGTTAAAGCTTCTTATTTACTTATTATTGCTAAATAGATTACTATACTCTTCATATTTTAAACTAAAAACACAAATAACGGGAAGTTGAAAATGTTTCTGATTAAGTTAGAAACATCATTAAGAACACAAGGCAGTACAATACTCAGAAGTAGTAGATGAAACGTAAGCTATACGAATAGGATAAATGGTGAAAAGACGTTAATATTAATTCATGTATATACACAACAAATACTGAAAGAGTCCTAATGTATCTCTTGTTATATTTATTTATCTTTGTGTACATAAGGTTTTTACTGAAAATTATATATATATCCTCAATATTCGAAGAAGATACATCTTCAAGATAGTGACCTGAATTGGCATACGCAACAGTTGTTATTAACAGATTAAATAGTTCACGGTATCCCTCTTTTTTTTTTTTATAAGGAAATTGGATTCATTATTCGTTTATCTAAGGTTACGTATTGAACAGAAAATCAACGTCTTTTTGTTCTGTAGTATTGAGTTTAGCAAAATAAAAAAAAAACATCACGGTACTCTTGGAATGGGGATAGGAATACATTCATTCTTTACTTCCACTGTTTGTTCCTTTTTCTATAGATTTATGGTACTCTTAGAGTGGAGATAGGAAGACATTCATTCTTTACTTCCTCTGTTTGTTCTTTTCTATAGATTTACTATACTTCCTATAGTATACTTACTATATTTCTTTACTTCCTCTGTTTGTTCTTTTCTATAGATTTATGGTACTCTTAGAGTGGAGATAGGAAGACATTCATTCTTTACTTCCGCTGTTTGTTCTTTTCTATAGATTTATGGTACTCTTAGAGTGGAGATAGGAAGACATTCATTATTTACTTCCGCTGTTTGTTCCTTTCTATAGATTTATGGTACTCTTAGAGTGGAGATAGGATGACATTCATTATTTACTTCCGCTGTTTATTCCTTTCTATAGATTTATGGTACTCTTAGAGTGGAGGTAGAAAGACATTCATTATTTACTTCCGCTGTTTATTCCTTTCTATAGATTTATGGTACTCTTAGAGTGGAGGTAGAAAGACATTCATTCTTTACTTCCCGTTATAGATGTTTACCGTACCATAAAGCTTCAAAGTGTTCTACGTTTTTGTTCTTTAATGGTGATTTTAGAGTGATGAAACACGTTATTATCTGATTTCAATGTTTTTTCAGTTATATGGGCTTATGAATTGTTAGAATACAATGTGAAAACACGTTCTGTACTTTCATTACAGAATTTCATCCGCCCATATAGCTTCAAAACAGAAGATATTGTGCATATTTATCACGTTCTAGTGTCCAGCGATTGGTGCATAAAACAAAATCACAAAGAAATAGAAGGTGACGTTTCCCATGGAGGCGAATGTCTACCTAAAAATGACAGTTCACAATCAGGTGAAGGTTTCAGGAAACTTGAAATGAAGATAAATTACTGTCAACAGTAAATGTTCATCAGCAAGGTCCATGTAATAATTTTGTAAATGTTTTGGTAAACCTGTGTATTGGTTATTTTGTAGCACTAGGTTTCATTTATGTAACCAGAAAACATTAACATTCTGAAAGAAAATTAAGAAGAAATGAATATAAGAATATTGATTGGCTTGGTAACTCCTATTCTTTGTTCTAACTGTTATAGTTAAACATATGACTCATTCCGTTGTATTCTAAATATGTGAAATTTAAGAAAGTTAAATATTCATAAAAAAAAGGTCGACATTTTGTAACAATTGTAATAGGTATTAATATAGTAATATTGACTGGTTCATTAACTTGTGTTATTTGTTTTAATTAAACGTGAAATCCAATGAATTATATTATAAATATACGAAACTCAAAAGGTCATATTATCACCTAAATAACAACTCAGTTGCAATAGTTCTTTTTTTTTTTCCAACGTCAAAACACACAACATTTAACACACGTAAACTTAAATACTCAGGAAAATTAACATACCACTGCACTGAATTTCATTGTTATAGATTTGGAAAGAAAAGCGAAAATAACACATGTGTGCCGAAACAAAAACCAGGAAAAGTTAAACGTTAAGAACTGCTCCGAAAAACCTTCTACACAAATATCTGACTTAACATTTGAAGATAGCTTTGATATACGGAAACATCTGTTAACTGAGTTCTTGCACAGATCTTAAAATATAACGTACATAAATGGATCTACGTATCTACATGAGCCGATGTTTCCATTT